GAATTTGCCACTGATGATTCAAACGCGAGTTTTGAGCAGTGTAGAGTAGTGCTTGTTTGTCATTTCTCTGATCACAAATGCAGACAGAGTTTTATGTTTACGTGGCGAGATGCAACGCAACGTGTAAAAAGAGAGTATAAGTCATTATAATCCGTAAATATGTCCCCACTGGATGCAACAAATGCCTCGTTTATAATGGGTTTTCATGTTTTTGTCTCATCACACCGGGACACGGCATCATCACAGTATGTGAGGGGCGTAACATTTCCGTCACACGCTTGAGGTATTCGGCCAATCACAACGCACTGGATAGCTGGCCAATCAGAGTACACCTAGCTTTTCATACCGATGAGCTTTGTACAAATCAACGCGTTTCAGAAAGTTAAAATAATGTGTTTTTTTAACCTTAAACCGCATACACACATTTCATTACATTATAATGTTCTTTTTAACAATGTCATATGACCCCTTTAATGTTGGAAAACACTGGTCAAAAACCTTTTAACTCCACTGCAGCTTGACTTTTGCAAAATGCTAATAATATAATGACATATGCAATAGTCTTATATAAAACCACAATATCAAATTTGACACCACAGAGTATATATACAGTGTATATATACATATATATATATATAAATCCTGAAAACTATTGGCTTTACATCACCAGGTCAATTTATTTTGTCGTGAAGCCACTTGGAGCAGCACTCGCGGTTTTGTGTCTGATTCTCGAAGTATCAAGCCCATATATTCTACTTGTGAATATCATCTATAACCACAGCGAAAATAAATATCAAATCCAAACTGAATAAATATCACGTCCAAAACTGCATGTGTAACGACAGGTTCAACTGAGAGGTCAAATCAGGTCAAATATTCAAATGGAGCGTTCTAATGAAGGGGGTTAAAAACAACACAGAAAAAAAGCTTATTACTTCTAAATTATGTTTTTTGATGTAAAAATCTTGATAATGTTATAAGTGGACCTCAGAGAACAGTACAAAATAAAAAACAGAGACAGTTCATGACTCCTTCAAGAGTAGGTGATACCTTACATTTACTTTGTCTTTAAAAAAGTTTTAAATCTAACTTCATAAAACTGCAGAAACCGTGATCATATGAAAATGGCCTTCACTGACAGCAGAGTGAACAAAGAGACATTGTTCGTGACAGAAGAGGCCTGTAACTTCACCGCACTGGACACTTTCACAGGGCAGAACCACTGAAATGTGACACATGCAAATACATGAAGAGTTGTTTGATTCTTTGTGTTTTTTTCTAGAGGTGTGAAGTCTGCACCATTTGCAGTTCGTGCAATTCGCTGCGGTCGATTTGGTTTTAGCATATGTATTAACAAAAAATAAAGGCAACACACGTTTCTTACACGTGTTGTGAGTTCTGAAAATGTACGGGTGTGATTCGGTTCGGTTTATTCGGTTGCTTGACCTTCATCCTTCCCTCGGGTCATTTTGACCCAGAATTTTTCTTACAGTTTTTAAAAAAATTGAGTGTTAATCTGAGTGGTACTAGACTTTGTGACTTTTGTTCCACTTGAATTTGGAACACAAAAAATTGAGTGGGTCATTTCGACCCGACCATAGGAATGAATGGAATGTCGAAAAAACTGCGGGGGTTTTTTTTTTTTAAACGTTGTCACACTTGAACATGGATCACACACACACAAAAAAATTTAGTGGATTTAAGGACATTATGCCGGTGAAAAAAACCCCCAAACAATTCCTTCCCTTGCAGGTCAATTTGACCCCCCATAGGAATGAATGAAATATCGAGAAAAAACTTTTTTATTAGATTTTTTAAAAATACAAAATCTGACACAATCCAGACAAAATTTATATCCAAACGAAGAGCTAAGACTATAGAATACCTCCCCCCCCACACACACACATACATGATACATGCACACACATAGAGACACACTATAACACGCATGATTTAAAGGTAAACACCATAAATACAAATTTAATGAAATAAAAATCACCAAAAAAATCATAGAAAAACCCTACCTAAATATAAAGAAAAAAAAGTATAAAAACGGATCAATATAAGCTAAAAAAAAAAAAGTTTAATTTTAGGCCTTCGGCGAGGGAAAGATTTGTTACAAAACGCGAGGGAAGGGTGAAGGTTGAATAAAGGACTGACAGCTTTTTTGCTGTTGTGTGAATGTGAACTCTTAGTCAGGTTAGTGCCATCTGTGACCCTGGAGCACAAAACTAGTCATAAGTAGCACAGGTATATTTGTAGCAATAGCCAACAAAATATTGTATGGGTCAAAATTATAGATTTTTCTTTTATGCCAAAAATCATTAGGACATTTAAGTAAAGATCATGTTCCATGAAGATATTTTGTAAATTTCCTACCCTAAACTGTATATCAAAACTTAATGTTTGATTAGTAATATGCATTGCTAAGAACTTAATTTGAACAACTTTAAAGGCGATTTTCTCAATATTTAGATTTTTTTGCACCCTCAGATTCCAGATTTTCAAATAGTTGTATCTCAGCCAAATATTGTCTTATCCTAACAAACCATACATCAATGGAAAGCTCATTCTAATTTTGAAAAATTTACCCTTATGACTGGTTTTGTGGCCCAGGGTCACATATTTAATTTTTGACAGGAATGAAAACGAGGCTGTGATAGAAGCACAGTGCGTTCAATGGATTGCACCGTTGTTTGACAAGATACAGATTATTCAGCTCTCGAAAAGTCTTTCTGGAAAAAAATAATAACTTGAATAACTTGAAAATAATGATCTGATCTAGGACCTTTATATAATGCGTCCCATAGTCTATCCCTCACATCCTGGCGCCTAACCGGACTAAAGTCTATGATGATTGTGAGACGACTTGAGTTTTGGAGTGACGGCTTCACTCTTCTAGTGTTATGTGAGGAAAGTTTTAAGGACGTAGGTGGCGGCTCAAAGGTGTTCTTTCCTACACAGACAGAATTACATGATATTAATCTCCCTCCCAAACTGAGGACACAAGCAATTACAATATTCCAGCTGTGAACATGCTAAACGTGTTTAAATACCTTAAAAAATGCAGAAACTATACATGTTTATTCTCGTTATGTTACAGATCCACTAGATTTGTAGAACAGACAACTGTAGAGTGTGATGGAATGATGTATGATATAAAGAAGAAAAAAAAGCAACTTCAAAAACTTCTTCACTTAAATACTTCAATCATGTCAAAGAGTCATTCACACAGACGTCTCGAGGTTAGATGATTTCAGTCATCGCAAAACTGTTTTGGCGCTAAACTGTTTATGTGCAAAGCCGACCTCATACGTCATCCGCCCAGAGCTGCTTCCGTTTACAAGTGATTATTACGTTTTGAATATGGATATTTTTCTTACAAAAACGCATCGATTCGCTACAGGAGGCCTTCGTTCACTCCCCGGAGCCGTGTGAGACTTTTTTTTTTATGGATGGGCGATTTTTATTTAACTTCTTTTGGACTGATGCATGAGTGGCACCCACTGAGTGGCATTAAACAGCTTGAAAGATCAAAGACAATTTTTGATATAACTCCGACTGAATTCGTCTGAAAGAAGAAAGTCATATACACCTAGGATGCCTCGGGGGTGAGTAAAACACAGCCTAATTTTCATTTTTGGGTGAACTAACCCTTTAATGCATATCAATAAGTGATACTAAGCAATTTTAAGTATTTGTCATATACAGAAAAGTGTGTAGAAAAATACATACATTACCATTCAAAAGTTTGGATTCAACAATGATTTTTAAAGAAACTGTAAGATACGTTTATTGAGCAAGGATGCATTAAATTGATCAAAAATTAATCAGAAGAGTTCTATTTCAAATAATTGCATTTCTGTTGAACATTCTGTTTATCAAATAACCATGAACAAATAAAATGTGTCAGTTTCCACGAAC